AAAGAAAAACACACGTTCAAACTGCGCAATAACAGTCTTAATGATTTTACTCTTATCCCTCGAGCGTAACGGAGTCCCCTCTCGGAATATTACGAGTAACTGTTAGGTAGAATTAATAGGGAAGGAGTGACTGTTGAAGTACAACAGGATTAAATCTCGTGACAAAATTTAAACGGGAATCGATGTTTTTAAGCGCTGGCGCGTGCCATAAAGCTTCTGTTTATTGTAACAAATATAAACTAGGAAACAAAAAGTTGTACATGTCATTGTTATTGTGATCCTAAACAAAAATAAAAGCCTTTGTACTCGCTAATTAGCGGCATATCAATGTGATCTTCCGCATGCAAGGAAACCTGCAATCGACATGAACATCTATGGCTCCATCTTCTAACGTTATAGTTTCATCATTAGTTAGTATGAGTAAAATATAGTGTCGGTAAAATCAAATGTAACTCTGCTCATCCATTCAATTATTAGGGAACACAATGTACGACGAATTGTTGTAATTATGGTAAATTTTAATTTGCTCTAACTTGCGTGTCTAACTCCTTCATATTTACAAATAGATAAATCATATAAAGACAAAAGGAAGAAGTCGAGTTATCGAAACACTTTTTTACGTAATGGGTCTTAATAAAGTACTTTTCCAGTTTCGCCTCTCATTTCACCAAGATTTTCCACATCGATATCGTGTCCTTTTATAATTATAGCCCAACCAAACAACTTTCAACGTATGTAATAGCTGTTCGACTCTTGTTCATTGTATTATATTGAATTCGTTTTGATATTTCAGTTAAATTTCATTATAACGATTTACCAAAGAAACAACATCTTACTCAATGCTATGCTGCCCATATGTCTACGACAGTTGGGTTAAACCGCTACACTAGTGACGTGTGATAATTTTGTCTCCCTATCGAGATGGAGAGATTTGTCACGTCAACAAATCGTCACGATGGCGTCCGAAGTATATGCGTAATTAACGTCACTTTTAATTCAAGTTGGCGGTGAATGTGGTCCGACACGCAACGTCACGAACACTTAGTACGGAGCGACTTCTCGGCGACCACGCCCATGGTGTTACAGGAATCCGGCAAACACACCACACATTCACACTTCAAATCGATGCCACGCGAGTAGCTTTTGTAAAAAAGGTCACATTATCTGGTCTTTGTTAGACGGTTATCGGTTTTATAGGGGGTCCTTCTTACGTTTGTAGAAATGAACAGCGCTGTCAGCCATTTAATCGACGATTGGAACAATGCTACGCCATAGGAGATGGGAGAAGTCTAGATGATGCATTAAATCATATTATAATAGTCTATAAAGTTTACATTTTGGCGGTTGTTGCAAAGGTCTTGTACATGATTGGACAAAGATGTTTATTGACCAAAATTAACGCTATGTGATTGGTTGGATGCAGTCAGAATCTGAAATCGATATCAAGCTCAGCGAGTTTTATTTCCGATAAAACATAAACCTTAAATCGTATATAAAACCATATTTTGAATAACCGAGTCCCCTCTCACATTACTGGTATGAGTAAAACAGTTTTCATGATACTAGTAAAATAACAGGGTTGGAATAATTGTTAAGATACGAACACGATTGAAAGTCGCATGGGACCCACATCAAACACGTCACAGAGCTTCGACTGTGGTGCTTTCAAATGTATGAATATTCATAATCAGTCTTTTTCAGAAATACTCGGTGTATATTTTGTGAGTTTAGTAGAAGTTGCGAAGAACTTGAAAACGCTGTGAGCGGCTTGGTTCAGACTGAGACAAATAATGTCTGAGGTTCGGATTAGCTTACAAACTGCGGTGGCCATCTTGCCCCTTTTTATAGTACCGGCTCCCCTTTAAAACGCTGACGCGTGTCAAAGAGCAATTGTTTATTGTAGAGTTAACAAATATAAACTAGTAAACAAACACGTAAAAACATTGATTGTACATTTCATTGTTAGTGTGTTCCTAAACAAAAACAAAGGCCTTTGTACTTGATAATTAGTGGCGTATCAATGTGATCTCCCGCACGCGACATGAACACCTATGGCTCCATAGGAAGATGTAGTCGTCATGGTTACACCATTAGGTTTAATACGAGAGTAGCTCTATCTATCCATTATTAGAAAATATAATTTACGATGGGTTGTTGTACTTATGATAAATAATGGTCAAGTCAAAATCTTCATCACTATCCCGATTTAAATCATTTTCAAGAGTTTCTGGTTGATAAACAATGTGGACTACATAATAAAAACAACCCAAAATAACAGTAAAAAACAATAACACAAATTGCCTTTGAGACTTTACACTAACTTAAAGCGCATTCATATTTAGAAGTCGTTACATTACGAAGAAGGTAGCTAAGAATGAAGAAATTCTTTCTCCAGCTTCAATTTCATTTCACCATGATTCGTTATTGGGTCAACCAATCAACTTCAAGTCATATCATCTCCAACCCACGTGACGATGGAGAAATGGCGTTGTGTATTACTAGTACATTGCTTACGGTACACGGTCAGTGATCGCCTACTCGGGAACTAGAGATGACAATTTGGATAATTTAAAAAAAAAAAAAAAATTATTTGATAATGGAATGTTGCATTGAAATTATCAAATCCACTCGAATTCGCCAAACTACACATGAAAACAAACCACTTCCAAATGTATTTCTATGGAAACCACATATTTAGGTTCCTCGTATGTTCATTAAACTTTCCTAAAACTTGTTGGGTTGCACATTTCAGTAAAACTCAGTGTTTTAATATGCCAGGCGAAACTATATAAATCCCCAAAGAAGTTACCGAACGAAAACCAAAATTAGACAGTACAACTGACATAAAAATACGTTATCACTCTGGTGTTTAGCATTGATTCCTGATAAACAACATTGTGTCAGAATTTTAACAAGTTCGAACCCCGAATGCAGATAATTGTCGCCCTGAATAATTTCGATGTTAAAACACAGTTACTGAATAGCCATGACAAGTTGACAAAATACGTCCCGGGAAATAGTGGTTCTTTCTTAGCCTTGTTTTGCAGACTTGTGGCGTTGGGTTACCGTTCGAAGTAAAGAAGTAAACCATGGACTAAAAAATTGTTAAAGGGCGGCAGTCGTCGTGCCGCGCCCTGTTCGATATGAGACTCATAGCGACGTATACAACGCGTGTAAAATACATTGTTTAATTACATGAAATTCGAACACGCGCTGCGCGACGACCACCGCGCGTCAAATGGAGTAAATAAAACATATAAATAAAAATTGTAATATATTATCGAAATATAAATAGTAGACATTTCACTTTTAATTATAATTTTAATCATAAAGGTAATTGGCGATGATCGTGATACTGCGTCATGAAAACCCTACAGTGTTTGTGATTCTGTGGGAGCAACGTCCCGGCAACCACACCGAGAAAACCGGCAAACATACCGTTCATTCACACTTCAAATCGGTGCCACGTGACTAGCTTTTGTTAACAAATCACGTTATCTAGTCATTATTAGGTGATTATCGATCTGAATGCGAGTCCTTAGATCAATAGTTATCGCACAATGATTGAGACAGAACAATATTCTTGTTACGAAAACCAGTTTTCCCTCCAAAATACTCTTTTGAGACAGAAAAATTCTGAAACTTTGCTAAATTATTCTGCTGACTGCCAAACTCCAAGAACATAAGGGTACGAGAACTATTCCTTTAATCATCCCGGTTACTATTATTTGACTTCTGTCATTTATTTTATGGAACCGTTTACTCAACAAAACATCCAATAATTCTAGTACTTTTGTCATTTTCATAAATTTGACGAATTGGACCGGACAGTTCCAATTCTTAACCAGGATGATAATATTACAATATTTAATGCACATCAACTGTAATATAAGTCACATTTTATAAACAAAAACATCAATGAATATGTGTCTCTCACATAATTATGCTGTAATACTATATACCCACATTTTAACAGCCTAGACCACGTAAGTTAATCTTGCTTAAATGAGCAGATAACCATGGAAAGAAGGCCATGCGGCAATTGGCCTAAGCTACCCTCTATAAATTAAAAAATGGAGTCTTATGCGACATGTTGATATGTTTTCATCTACTATTGTGTACGTGACTTTGTTTCTTACACGTAACCAGCAATATGCTCAGCTAGTACTGCATTCAAATCTGATCTACTGACTTCCTAAAGCAACATTGCTTGCAACACAGTTGTATTTCAGCCTTTTTCGATATTGCTGGTTAGATGTTCGTAACAAATTCGCTGCCACAGTAATGTATTTCTGGGTGATTCAGGCCTGTCTTTTGAGTGGTATACCCGGACTTCTAGAAGCGACTGATGGAGCCGAGGAGGATCGAAACTGGCATTGTGATTAAAATGAAACCAACAGTTGATCACTACATAAAGATTCATAAAGATAATATACAGTTTCGTTTATCGAAGTATTACATTATTTCCTGTATTATCCACATTATCCCTGGCTTACGGTGGTTGTACCAGTGTGCCATCACGGGACTAGGTAGATCATTTTTGTATCAACCACTGGCATATTACGAATCCGTGGATAATTGTGTTTATACACATGTTACAGGAACATATCGCTTGTAGTTTCGTTTTTTTTTCTTTGTTTGTTTATAATTACATAGATAATATTGTTTATGGCTGTTCTCGCTTGAATGTTGCCGCTTAGTGTGGAAGAGGTGAAAGTCATTCTTGGTGGACTAAAGCGTGAATCGATACATATTGTATTTGGGGCGCCCTCATTGTTCGGCCTAGAGGGGAGTCAGCTCAAAAACAATTGAAACGTTTCCTGAAAGAACTAAAATATCGTAATTAATAGATATGACGTCACTATTATAATATGTTCTAATTCGCCACGAGTAATGGTCGTCGTCTTCTTATTGGTCAGTAATCATACAAGATTGCATAAAAAGACACGAACCAGAGTACAAATTTCAAACCAAGAAAGTCCTTCTTTCAAGTTGGTGATTGTTATACCCTCTGTCACCTCATACTTTCAAGTTCTCTGGTTTGTACTCACCATCAAGGCATGGACTGCTATGGAAAATACACCATACAGTCACCACCAGCGCTTTCTACGATGCACGGCCAAACCGCCATGTACAACAACCACACTCCGTACCAAGAGGTGTATTCCATGGCAAATTGCCGACCCTACTTGGACAGGGCGCAGTGCTCCTATAATTCGATCAGCTCAGATTTCGCGCAAGCCCATGACAGTGACGTATTCTCGGGGTAGGTGAATCATATGAGTTCGGTCCGTTTTAATTTTAAGGGGACAGTAGCTGCAACTTTTTTTCTGCAATATTGTTAATTTTTAACCTAAAATATTCCTCGGCACAATAATATGAATCATACACGTACTGTAGAACAAATGTAAAGTGTAGATGTAAAATATTAGAAAGATAATATGAGCGATGACTCGTAATGCCAAGCTGATAGTGTCGATACATTTTAAAATGAAAGCCGTACATTTCAATGAGAAAAACTGTATTTTTTTTTTGTAGGTACAGCGCCACGAACGATTCTTGCGAAAGTAACCAGCGTGATACAGTAGTTGACGGTCTAATGTCGCTGAAAACTGCCCGTACATGTCGTCACAATGTGACAGCTAGCTACAGTTCCCCGGATGGATCATTAGAGACAAGTAACCACGAACCAATAAGTGAATTCATGAAACAGGTAAATATAAACATCTTGTATATTCGGGAGAACGATTTTTTTTTTCTGGAGTAGAGCATCAATAAGATAAAGACACACAATATGGATATAACTACAACCCTGTTCTCAAAATAACCGAAAAATTGCAATCCCAACTTCAGGGAAGAAATGTCAATTCAATGCATATTTTATTGTAATGCTACAGTAATGTATTCCTTTTCTCATCATATCGATTTTAAAATTTGCAGAACAATGAAAATTGCCCATTATTATTATTATTATTATTATTATTATTATTATTATTATTATTATTATTATTATTATTATTATTATTATTATTATTATTATTTGTTTACAGAGTTGTTCCATCAGTAGCAGCTCCTCATTGCACCCCGAGTCGCCGGCTTGGGACCAATTAGCCATGGAGCTGACAGTGACGCCATACCCCTACCTCACCAGTGATTCTTTCTCCGTGCCATGGGAACGCCATTCAACCGTGCCCGGTGTCCATTTCTCAACTAGTCACTGTAACTATCTGGAAATGCCACTTTATTCGCAAGAGACTACGTATTGTAAAAACTCTGCTCCCAAATATTATAGGTAAGAGTGCATGTTTCTCCACAATATCCATGTTTTCTGCCACTTTGTACCAATTATGTCAGTTTTGTTTACATAGGATTACACAAGTTTTAGAATTTTGGGATAATTTTACTATTGTTTCCTGTGGTACAGACCATATCTGACTGTTTTCAAAAACTTAGTGCATTGGTATGAATTTGTAACTGATTTTAGAAAAAAAAAGCACTACTAAGAGTAGACCACTGTAAATCAAGTGTGCATGTCTAGGAAGCAGAAGTTCGAGTTCGAAGTTCGACATAACACTTATATTTATTCAGCCCACATGTGTTAACACCAATATCTTTTTTTTCTAAACAGGAGTGCATTCAACGGTGGTTCTGCAGCGGCATCCGTTGGTGGGTCCCATGTCACCAGCAACCGTCTGCTTGATTTTCATTCGCCAATGATGCGATCCGCACATTCGTCGTCCGTCCATCAACGCAAGAATCGATGTAACATCTGTGGTAAATGCTATGCCCGGCCCAGCACCCTGAGAACTCACATGCGAACACATTCTGGTGAGAGACCATTCAACTGCACTGTATGTAATAAGACGTTCGCCCAGGCCGCCAACTTAACGGCTCATATGAGAATTCATAGCGGCGAAAAGCCATATAGGTGCCCAATGTGCTACAGACGTTTTTCTCAGGTAGGTTCGATAACAAATCCTTCTTTTTTAATATACATGGTTATCAACAATATAAATATAATTTTTAATTTATTTATAACCACAAATATCTGGGATTAGACTGGAGCTGGATTGACCAAATTTCTTTTCTTCTCTCACAGGGTTCATCACTCACTACACACATGAGAACACATACAGGAGCCCGTCCGTACAAGTGTAACTACTGCGAGAAGTCCTTCGCTGATAGTTCAACGTTGACCAAACACAAGCGTGTACACACCGGTGAGAAACCGTACAAATGCAACAGATGCAACAACTCTTTCTCCCAGTCTGGAAACCTGAACCGCCACATGAAGTTACACGCAAGATAATGTACAAGGAAGTCTGGGTATATGGTGAAAATAAAATGTACATGTACTATTGACTTCCACGAAATGGAACTACACGTACTGTTAACGACTTTACTTCATATTATGAAGCCATGTATCACGGTGTATTTTGAAAACATTATTTCATTTTTCAGTGTGTTCTATATCCTGGCTTATTTTAATACATATTTGACGTTTTAAGCACAATATATTACTGTTTTTATGTAGATAGATGATTGAGTACAATATAAATTATATACATTATTACGGTAACCATAGTTTCCAGTCTTGGATCATGGTTCAAATTCATCCACGGTTCGTACTGGTCAAATAAAGCGATGCATGTATATTTAATTATTTCCAAACCCAGAGACGTTCGTGATATTTATGTAATTTATTAATGCTTGTTGTTTATTTAGACGTGTTTGTAATATTATATAAATAAATATTGAACGTATACCCTAGTACTATTTGGTGTTTCCGTTATTGGGCAATGTATGGAGGGATCTGAGTCCGAGAATAAACCACGCCTATAAATCGCGCCCTCTAGTGACGAATGGTTTATGTGACGTCACATGTACCCCATGTACATAGATCACTTTCCCAGAAGTAGCAGAACTGGGATGCAAAAATACTTCTGCTTTGTCATAGCTGAAAATACAAACATATCCGTTTGCTGATAGTCAATAGGGAATGGATTCTTATTTTTGTGCCCTCGATTGGCACACCCAGAAGCACAAAATCACACGTGCAAAACGGTATGTGCGCGCATGCGTATCTTCGACGGTCTGTCTTCGACTTCTGTGAATTTGGTCTATGTGAAAACAATCACTCTGTGGTGAACACATCTAGAATATAGTAACATCTCTCAAAACACAATCTTTAATTAATGGACGACAACAGATACCAGATCAGCGACCTCCAAACTTGCAAAGCACCGTGGTGACTTGAAGTTTGCCATACTGTAACTTGTACTTTGAAGGAAACGATATAAGATATAAATGTGCATGCGTAATGAATTTAACAATACATACAGAGAGACTAGTGTTTTCAATATTTCAACGAACACTGCTATGATAACAGGCAAAATATTATTTTCATTTTACAATAAATAATACCTTTATGTTTCTACGTGGATACTAAGATTGTTAACCACAATTTTCCTTTACATAAACAGAATACTTACACATGAATATAAATATATATAAATGTATACATTTGATATGAATGAGAGAACGTTTTGATTCACATGTTACCATAACGACAGGTGTGTTTTAATGAAAGCCTTAGATTATGTTGTTCAGACCAGCTAATCAGAAAAATATTCTTGAATGTTTAGAGTGACTATGGTTTGTGTTCGATTGTTGTTCGATTGTTCGATTGTTGTGTGATAGCTTCGAATGTTCCAGATCTTCACAGATACAATGTAAAAACTTAAAAAGTAGGGTTATTTTCACACATACAAGATACATAAGTTAAGTTCCCACCATTTCCAAACATAGAAAAAAAGGTTTGACTAATTTTTAAAATCAAATATTAAAAAGCATCATCACAAAAATCAGCCGAGTCTACACAGGAAATATTCCACCAAATTTCAAATCACAAAACCAAGGCTTACTTATTTTGGTATCACATTGAATAAATAAAACAGTTTGAAATTCAAGCATACCACCTCTTGCATTGTTTGGAAAAGGGCTATAATTTCTGCATTTATTGAAATATTTACCTATACAAATCACAAAAAGCGTAGTTTATTCCCCCCAAATCGTCATAAAGCCGTTGATCGTGTCTCAGTAGGTATCCCTGATAGATTGTTATCATCGAAACTGTCAATAAATGAAATATTGTACTCACTCTCCTTTCCAGAGGCCCAGTCTGCACTACGAGTTGTATCTGGGAACGAGAGTGTATTTTACTCCGCCTAGCGCCACCAAGCGACAATTAAAAACAATTGATTATTTATTCCTATCGCAAGAGGTCGCACATTCCCATCATTCATTGAGCGAATATTTGTGTGGAAACAGGAAGCAGTATACCAATCGTGATGTTGTTGTGTCTTTGAAGCCGAAACACCAAATATGTTTACCGATGAACTGCTTGACGGTGTGGATTTCAAATCTACATGGAAGAAAGAAAGGTAAATGGCTGTGTTTAATGCTAATAGTGCGATTTGACAAATAATGACTTCGATGCGACTATTATGATAAACACCGGTTCACGATCCGAGTTGTCAGGCGACCAGGCACCACCTTTCGACTTGTAATTTTGTCAACTGAATCTCGTATTATTTGATGAATTCTATCGTTTTCGTCTCCAAATGTAAAATAAAATGTTAAAAAATTATCCAAAATACATCAATGTTGTGAATAATTAGCATTAATTAACATATGATTTGTAAGAGTAGTTCCAGAAAATTACAATTCCCTTATTTTTTGGGGGGGGGGGGGGGTGTGACTTGATCATATAATAACAATGTTACCACCTGATATCACTCATTTGTAGAAATCGTTATTACCCATATGTGTATTATCCAAAATACATAAAAGTTGTGAATAATTAGCATTAATTAACATATGATTTGTAAGAGTAGTTCCAGAAAATTACAATTTCCTTATTTTTTTGGGGGGTGTGTGACTTGATCATATAATAACAATGTTATCACCTGATATCACTCATTTGTAAGAAATCGTTATTATCCATATGTGTATTATCCAGTCACTTAACAGTTTTCATACTTGGGATGATAAAAAAAGAATGGTTGTCACATGTGCACCGAAAGATTGTGTCCTAAGCCACGCAGATAACATA